TAGAATTAGTAAGTGTAGTACTGAGCATACCTTAATTGGTTCACGAGGGTTAAAGAGTGAGGAGTGTAATTTGTAGAAGTGAAGAACAAAATCACAAGCAGATGAAAAGGTACGGTTAAAAGCTAGTCATTGGGAATTCTTGAACCTACTTTCTAAAGTTTCCTGTTTTTAAAAGACACCTAAATTAATTACTATAGTAGTATCTAATGCAAAAATTTACTTTTGATCACAACTTTTCTTTTATAAACCTTACAAAAAAATAAACATAGGAATAAAAAAAAGATAAAAATTGATGAGACACTCCTTTTTATGCAAAAGGTGATTAGAACCTTTTATGTTTTTGGGGGCAAAGTAATAAGGCTTAACTCCTAATCTGTATTCATAGGCCATAACATAAGGCCCCCCCGTGTCTAAGCAGTCGATTTTATCAAAGTAGAATTGTATAGGATTTCTGTCAATAATTCAAAAAGAACCATTAAAATAAATGCGTGATATCATATTTGAATTATTTAGTATGATCGGCCCGAATGGCTAATAGGTAGACTGGGGGAATTGGCCTTATGAAAAAATCGACCAAATTGTTTGATTCGAAACCAACTCTAAGATTTTCTCTAATTTTATTTATGAAGGAGCTTGATTAACAAAGTTAAACCGAACCACCCTCGATCCCATTCGTCTGCTCATTCAATCAAGTTTGCTTTCAAGACGTATGCCTCGAAGGGCTTTAATTAAGTGTTCCCCTTCCACCTATAACTACCTCCCTAACATCAATCGATCGCATCTAATCGAGTATTATATCGTCATTCATGAGGGTTAATTCACTTTCGGCGCAGTGGTATGAAAAAATAAAGAACTGAGGCGGGGCTGCATTTTCAAATTAGGTGGGAAGCTCTCCACATTCGTCTTCATCCTTTTTAATACTATTTTTTGCACCAACGGTTCACAAAGAGGAGATTACTTTTATATTATTATTATTATTATTATTATTAGTTTATATCCATCCTTCAATCTTGACTCTTCGACGAAATTCCTAATACTTGTTGTTCTTTTATTTTTCCTCTGGTGGAAAAGTCAGAGTGTTTGATTGTTGGGGAGACCTAACTTTGGCGGTCTCGATGGGCAGTGGCATGGCAACCCCACATGGCATGTGTTGACTATATAGTCCATTTTATGTTATGCCAATCACGGGACATTTCTGGAAACTTTTTGCTGACATAGAATTTGAAATTCTAAGATGCCATTCGAAAAAATAAGTAATCGTCGTCGATTCAGAGTCGGGAAATGAACCGATCAACAACCCTAATGAAGTTCATACACATTATGTCTTTTTCTAGCAAACAAGGGTCGTGAGCTGTGCATGGCACGACCTCTGCTCCATGGCCAAGAAGCTAGACCACAACGAGCGAGAGAATAGATTAGAATGGAAATTATATTTCGGCTATTTCCATTACTTATTGAAGTTGGATTAGGGTTTTGGGAATGCTTAACTGGTCCCCAAGGAGATTACCCGATTCTGCTTCCGACATAGAACGGACGTGTAATACGACGATTTCGAATGCTATCCAAAAGCTAGACGCATCTCTCGATCGCACATGTTCTTCCCCAGACAAGCAAGACAAAACTGCCCGAAAGCTGACTTTCACGTACGCGACCCTTGACGCGCGAAGGGCGCCTCTGCGTTTATCTTCTAGTTTCCAAACTCGTGAACGTGGACAGACTTACGATTCTTCAGCAGCCTTGGATTCTATGTCCCTCTCAACTATTTGCATTTAGAAAACCCAAAATGATAATCAATATAGTATTGAAGGAAACATCAGTCTTTTTTGCCGATTTAAAAGTGTGGTTGGTGGTACTTTTTTCTTGGGTGGCTTCAACTATCATACCGCCTGCTACGGCACAGCTTTCTGCTTAAGTAAGTAGTGTGTGCTTTGACAATGGCTCGAGGACGAAATTCAACTGATGCAGCCTCATTTTTTTAAGCATGTCGAATGATATACAGCTAAATCACTTCTTTTAAGAATGCTTTGGATCTGAAACACGGTGGCAAACATTAACATCGATCGTCTTTTGTCGTCTTCTCTTCATATATTCTGTTTTGTTCTATAATGTTTTTTGTTCCTTGAGATTCCATGCAGAAGCTGCATACATTGCGCATAATGGTGACAAAAGCGACTGATTAATCTAGGAGATGCATGAAAAAACCACAAACTGGTGGGGGCAGAACACATACGGACATCCTCTCTTCTTGTCTATCTTGTCCCCAAGCTTTAGGATAGAGAATCCCAAATCTCTAGTCTTGTAATTATTTGGTAGAAGGAAATTTTTTATGTTTGTTAAGACCGAGATTTGATTAGTGCCGAACACGCCGACATCACAAGAAATCTTCGAAACTATCGGGTTTTTACGTGGAATTAGTCTTATTAGTTGTTGGTTTGTGAACTATATGAAGTTCCGTACTAATTTCTATCATTTGAATTGGATGAATTATTTTTTTGGGGAAGGTTTTCCTTGTCTAATGATTTCTACCTGGAAAGTGGATCATAGAAGTAGGTTTGCCCACTTTTAAATTTTTTAGTATGTATAGCATAAGGGGGTGGTCCATGGACCACATTTGCGTGGCTATCCTTTTCAATGCACAAACATTAAAAAAGGGGTCGATTGCCAACTAACCATCCTCTACTCCCTAGCGACGTAGCATATAGTGTATTTATTCCTCTATTCATATCAAGGTACGAAGAAGAGGAAGTAATGGCGATGAAAAGAGAGGGAGAATTGTCGTCACCATGACGGAAAGTGATGTGATTTTGATTTTGATTGAGACATCATGGGGGTGATGGGAATGCGCAATCTCTCCACCATTCTCGTCATGATTGAGCAGGAAAAAAAAAGGGGGGGAGAACTCATGCTGTACTTTTCAAAGGAGAAAAGGATTCGAGATGGAAAAGTCGGCACTTGCCGCTGTCGCCAATTCAAATTGCACCAAGTTTCCATACGGGGAGAGCATGGAAGACCGACCTAAAATGGAGGAAAATTTAAGAGCAGGAGATGGCGAATATGAACGTGTACCGTTTTTCTTAGTAAAGAGGAAAGACCGTTTTAGTTAGACCCACAAAAATTCATATTGACGCGTCGAACTAAGCTAGTTTGTCAAATTTGCGACGTTTCGTTTACGAGAAGTGTGTATTCGGTTTAGCAATGGTCAAAAGGCGAGGAGAAAAGTTGGATCTAAAGATCTGTAAATTGGTTTAACTTTCACACGATCGTGCTTGCTTGAGCAAAGTTAAAAAGGGGAAACTCGAAATCTTTATCCTCCAAAAGTCTTCTGCTTTTACTTAGGGTTCTTCGATGTCGTGATGATCTTTCTTGTGCCACTTCCGTGGTGCTTTATTCAAATTGCTCTTTGCTTTTTCAAGGTGGCCCATTTGCTCGATCAAAATGTTTTCCTTTCCTGGCTTTGACGTCTTGCTTGGATCATCTCAACTTCAATTCGGCTGTTGATACCTTTTATGTCCTTGTAATCGTGTGTGTCTATATATATATATATATATATATAGGTCAAAGGTGATTTTTCTCTCATTTTGTATTTTCCGTTTAGCCCTTATCTACACGATACTTTGTAATACGTGCGAAATCCTCATTTTAGCCGATTTTAGTTTTTATTTCATAGATCAACACTTCATTGAGTGCTTTGTTTAAATAAAAATCTTCTTATCTCGGATATTAACATGCAATTCGTTAAGTTGTCATTATGCTAGTTTAAATGGTTAATCAGTTATTGTTCCATTTGAATTGGATGTTTTCACTTTGAAATTTTAAATTTGAGTATTTTTTTGTCTTTATTCGTGAGAGTAGATTCCTCTATGGCAAGTGTCAGAAAAATTGAAGAAACAACATGCCCACTTGTTTCAATTATCGCTTTGTAAAGCTTAGTATAGGTGGCCAATTTCCCTCATCTTCTCCGAATCTTCAAATCACTTTATTTTATTTTATTTTATTTTTGGTAAGGTAAGATGTATATTAACTTTTGAACGCACCACTTACAAAGAGGGATTAGTCGTACACAAAAACCTCGTACCCAATGGGACACCAATGGTGTTCCAACGGGTAAAAGGTTCAAATCACTTTATTTTGTACATGGGTTATCTAAAAAGAATTACAATATAATTAATCTCTCTTTAAACTGAGCGAGCTGATTTTGGTATAGTTGTAACTAATCGTTGTTACCTTGTTGTACTACAGTTGTGCATAATTTGATATTTCACGTTTAAAAACTGTAGTGCCTTAAAATTGTAAGTCAATTTCCTGAAAGCTGTAATACGTTGCTGTTTTTTTTTATTTAAATAGTATAGTTATAAAATGCCTGAAAAACATCATTTTTTTTATTAATTGAAATTGTTGCAGACAAGTTATACCAAATAACCTTGTAACACAATTAATGTCATCCTTAGCCACTCCTATAAAAGTACTAGGGCAGGAAAAAATCGTTATAGGAAACCAAGTCATAGAGTGTCCATTTCGAAACTTTTGTTTTCATTTCCCATCTTCGTTTTTCAATAACCTAAAAATTAAGACAATTCAATAAAGAGAGAGAGAGAGTCGACCAAAATGTCATTTCGCAACGATTTCTTGTTTTACGATCGAAAAAGTCTATCTCAGTTAGGTACATTAGGACTCGTGGAACTCGGAAATCCAATTCGACGCGGCATGAAATTTGGGACTTTAATGAAGAAATCGTTGCTCAACATGAGCATCACTCATGATTTCTTCAAAAAATTGACAAATGGAAGTAAAATTATTTTTGAAAAATCTATTAACCAAAGAAAAACCCATCCATGAAATGATATTACCGAATGATTTTGTCCAAGTTAAGAACATAAAGACGAGATTTTTAGGATGGATTCTAAGTTATTATGGACCCTCTGTTCTGTTGGGCCCAGAGTCAGTAGTAAGCTTGTCAGATGGACTCTTCGAAATGGCCTGGACGCTCTCTCCATCGCCATGGAAACACCTTCATCTCTCTCTCTCTCTCTCTCTCTCTCTCTCGCTCCCAGAGACACGAACGTACGCGCACGGAAGATCGCTGTCGATCGCGATGATGCAGTGGAAGGCTTGTTTGAAGAGAACCCAGAAAGCAAACCTCGTACGAGCGTCCTGTCGTCCGGTAAGAAACAGAGCCAGGTAGCTATACGCTCGTTGTTGGGCCAGTATAGGAGGCAAAGTGGGAAAAGAAGTCTTACTTTCTGCTCAATGACCTTAACGTTGACATTATCCACCGCCGTGCTTCTGAAAGAAGAAGCAAAGGTGATGGCTAGTACATGTACCGTGTGGTTGCATCAAGTCGTTAGTTGGCAGTCGTGTCGAGCCACACTTGGGTGATTTCAGGATTGCGTAACGTCTGTTTGATGAAATGCTCCAGTGGAGCATAGGAGGTGGCGGTACGGTTATGACTATTGATTGGAGGATGGTAGTCGGGAGATGATTGTGTGGAAGTAGTGTATTCGTGGTTCACGTATAACTAAGCCTACCAACCGATCGAATAGGACCCCGTTTCTAGATCCCCGTCCTTGAACCAAACAACGTCCCGGTCTCTGCTTCAGGAATCGCGAAGGTACGAATCCATATGTACAGGGTTGTGTGCGATTAAGCTTCAAAGATTCGGTTTTGTCCAGATTGGAGATTTTCATTTGTGAAACATAAGTTGGTGTCTTTTAGCTTGTTATTTGTCATGGTTGTTCGTATGAAGATTCAAAGCATTTGGTGTTTTGCTCATCTCGGAAAACTCAATGCCCTCAAGTACACGTACACTGCCTTTGCTAGATATTGTCACTCCGAACCACTCGGTGTCACTGCTACTTATTTGGAACCATCACCTTCATCAAGTAACAAGAATAGTGTGGCCATCTTTTGGGATTTAGACAACAAGCCCCCTAATTCCTTCCCTCCATTCGATGCTGCTATCAAGCTAAAAGCTTCAGCATCTTCGTTCGGTGTAGTCCATTACATGGTGGCTTATGCTAATCATCATGCGTTCAGTCACGTCCCTCCAGTTGTTAGGGAGCAGAGGAAGGAAAGGAAGGTGTTGAACAAGTTGGAAGATAAGGGTGTGCTCAGGCAGGTGGAGCCGTACTTGTGTCGTGTCTGTGGGAGGAAATTCTATACGAACGAAAAATTTGTTAATCATTTCAAGCAAATCCACGAGCGCGAACATATGAAGAGGGTGAGTCAAATAGAGTCCGCGAGGGGGAAGAGGAGGGTGAACTTGGTTGCCAAGTACTCAATGAAAATGGAGAAGTACAAGAATGCTGCAAGGGATGTTTTGACCCCCAAAGTCGGGTACGGTTTAGCCGATGAGTTGAAACGAGCAGGGTTTTTCGTGAATATGGTCTCGGATAGGCCTCAAGCAGCAGATGTTGCGTTGAGGAATAACATGGTTGATGTGATGGATAAGAGGAAGGCTGACTGTTTGGTCCTGGTCTCGGATGATTCGGACTTTGTGGATGTTTTTAAGGAAGCGAAACTGAGGTGTCTTAAGACTGTTGTCGTGGGACATATAAACGACGGACCTTTGAAGAGAACAGCAGATGTTGGGTTCTCGTGGAGGGATATTCTGATGGGGAAGGCTAAGAAAGAAGCTGTATCGGTTGTGGGCCGTTGGAAAGACCGTGACATTTTGAATAGGCTGGAGTGGACTTACAACCCAGAAGTGGATAGGAAAATTTATGATTATTATGATGAGAGTGAAGGCCAGGATTTTGAAGACAGTGATAGCGGAGTAGATGGTGAATTTATAGAAAAAGATGATAGGAGAGCTTGGTGGGATCTGGACTCAGATGATGATGTTGCTTCTTCTCAGGCATCTCATTCATCTTCATGATCGTTGATGAACTGAATTGATTTGGCACATATATCAGTAGATGCATAATCAAATGAGTAATCAATGTTTGACACTGCATCCCTCAGGCAGAACTTTCTGTCTCTCTGTTCTGTCGGCTTGCTGGCTAATCTGTGGATGATGATGCAGAAATGTGGTCAAGCTTAAAGGCTTAAGTTGAACTCCTACCGTACTAATCAGAATGAAGGAGAATTATTTGACATACTTGTGATAACTTTTCCCAAGTATTATTGTTCATGTTCAAACATAAGCATAAAATCTGCCTGTCATCCTTGGTGATGCTTTTGACATGACTCTTGAAATTGGTCAGTTGCGCACCAGCTACTTCTGCATTTTGATCCTACTTATCAATGTTATAATATGCTCGGTTTGTTCTCTACACTTGAAAGTGGTGAGTGGTGACTTTAAGGACTTCTACCTTTAGGCTGTTCTTATTTAGCACAGTCAGCTGACCCTTTTATTAAAATGACATAGTTTTTTGCTGTATTGGTTGAAAGCATTTGAGTTCAGGGTTTGATTGCCATCGCGTGCCTTAAAACCTGATTCTGGTAACAGTTGCTCCTTGTTCCAGATCTGGTACTTTTCCATGTGGTGGCAAATGATCAATAAGTTTGGGTTGAACTATCAATGGTTTTTCTCTTGCACGATCTGTCATGGTTACGTCAATAGCCTTAGAATGCTCGAAATTAAGATTCAAGTGTTTTAATTGAATCTGAATCCTGAGAATTGTAGATCTTAAGGCATTCCGCATTCTCTCTGTTGAAGCTTTTCTTTTGGGATTTTGAGCTCTTTCATTATATGGCTTCACACTCTAGTTTTTCTAATATTGATCTTTACTGATTAAATACAAAAAGAATATTCAATATTACATTAACTGGACTTATGATTGCTTAGGATATAATTATCTTGTGTAAATTGGTGTGGATGTTAATATTATGGATCTGAAGTTCAGCTATCTATCTGGAAGACATTCACAAATCAGTTTATGATATTAATTGAGATTGTCTGTCCTGTATTTTCAGTGGCGAATTGGTGAAGTGCTGGGCAGAATAGTATTGTGATCCAGTTCCATCAGGGAGCGGTCTGATCAGGATCAGACCAGATGCTTCTCAGTATAATACCAAAACCAAAATTCAATTAGAATAAGGCATCCCGTGAATGCGGTTGATTTCAGGATCCATTTGGTACTTTGACTAAACAGAAGAGGACCTATACCGACTAACAAACAAGACTAAAACTAAAATATCGTGGTTTATAAGGCTGCGAATGATAACCATTTTATTTTTATTTTTCTTTTCTAGAAATAAGTTTGGAGTAGAAATCCGTTTGGTAACGCAAATTTCATTTTTCAATTTCTGGAACAGATTTTGATTTTAGAAATAGGTTTGGAACAGAAATGAGAAGTAAAAATTTTCTACTTTTCTATTTCTAGAACAAAAATGAGAAATTCTTCTTATCGCTCGCCCTCGCTACTAGCCAATCGCCCACCCACCGCTATCCACTTGCCAGCCGCCGCCTCCCACCGTTCGCCGTCTTCTGCCGACGGTTGCCGTGGGCCGCCGTCTGTCGATCACCGTCTCCCGCTGTCGGTCGCCCTCCTCCCGTCGCTGATCGCCTCCCGCCGTCGGTCATTGCCCGTCTCCTGCTGCTGCCCGACGCCGGCCGCCTCCAGTTGCCATCCTCCGCACTGACCGCGTTGCCGTCCGCCGCCGCCTCCCCCCACCATTCGCTGTTCGCTGCCACTGTCCGCCCTCCTCCCGCCACCGTCCCCCTCCCGCTGCCGCCCCCCTCCCGCCGCCAACCGTCACTTGCCTTTCGCCGCCGCCTGACGTCGGTAGCCTCCAGCCGCCGCCTGACGTTGGCCGCCTTGAGTCGCTGTCTTCCGCATTGGCTGCATCGCCATTTGGCGCCGCCTCCCCCTGCCATCCGTCGCCCACCAATCGCTGCCACCGTCTGCTGCTTGCCGTCCGTCGCCGCCGTCCGCCCACCGTCCACTTGCCGATCACTCGAGAGGGAGAATTTTTGTGCCGTTATCAAATAAATTTTTGTTTCGGGAACAAAAATATTGTATCGTTATCAAATGTGTTTTTTGCTTAGAAACTCGTCTATGAACAGAAATAAAAATGACCAGAAATTGATTTTTGAAATAGAATGATTGTCATTCGTAGTTTAAGATGTCCCATGGTGACTCTGAATCGAACCAAATGATTTGGATCGAATCATGATTCGATTGCTATGTGTACTTGTGTAGGATCAGACGAAGAGAAGTCATAATCCGGCAGGATCAGAAGCTTGCAGGAAATTTATGATGTTGCAGGGTCTTCGAAAGCTCAAATTTTCCATTTCAACATCACTTTGCCGATCATCAGGCTTCTTCCACAAAGCGGTTAGAAAGAGAACTGCTTCGATGACCAAAAGTTTGAGGAGATTCTGAATTTTTCATGAGGTGCTACTTTTCTGTCTAATTGGAGTTGCCCCTACGCCCTGTAATGCTATGCTTCTGGTACTACAAATTCTTTGTAAAAGCTCTCGCGTTTTCCCAAGATTTTAACGATGGTACTGGCATTTGTCGAAAGAACATTTGCGTTCCCTCAATTCGATGATTTGTTTAAGAACGTCTTGGACTTATGCCGAGTGTGAAGGTTTTATAGAATTGAAGGAGAGTAATCTGTTATCTATGAAATTGACTTCCGCCTACAACTTCAAAGCATACTTCATTTAAAGGCGACCACATGGTTTAAAGAAACTTCATCAATGTCACCTGTTATCAATTCTCATCATTCAGGACAAAATATATGAAGGCCACCTTTATGCTCCTCTGCCTGAACATTCAATCGCCAGTTCGAGCCTAATCACCCCATAAAAACTAACTAATTACATAGTATCCACAAAAAATCTCGTCAACTCATCAATATGTATCATAATCAGCATCATGGAGTAAGCACCTACATTATACTGGCGCAAAACAGCCACATTCTTGTCCCAACTCCGGAGCATAACCCTACAAGCCAACTTTCATTTTGTATACCTAGCAGAACATGAATACAATCAAAATAAACCTTAAAATGGATATATAACCATCACAATTACAACTATAATCTCCATGTAACTCTGAAAACTTGAGGGGACTTGTCAACCTTTGTAAATTATGTGCAAATTGTTAACAAAGCGCAATGGACAAGCATTGATTGTTAACAAACCGCAAAATCTGAATAAAAAGCTCCTAAACTTGATCAGATTCACTGCTGCATAACGAACCTTTAAGTCATACTCATTGAACAACAACAATTTCCTGAGAACCTCTGAACAATAAAATCAATTAATGGCAACAAAAGGTGATTGACAATCCTCAAAACGGCCACAGGAAAAACATGAGCAAAGGCAAACACGCAACAATATCAACTTCAGCTGGAAGAACTGAAACTACTCTAGACAGAAGTAAGTGACCTTGTGAAATGAGACAAAGAAGTAATAGAGGCAACCTCATTATTAAACACTCCAGGACTTAAGACAATGAAAAAAATCATTGCAGCAAATTGAAATCTTATTCCCATCCATCTGAAAAGAAAAAGGTCCGACGATCAACATATGATTGTAATCTCTACAGTCATGGACTGTACAATATTTCAGATCTAAAATAATCATAGAGTGCATAAGGAACCTATACTTGGGAAAAATTGATGCAATGCTCCCAATTACCAGCACATACAGTTCAGAATGCCCTGCAAAAGAATGCTCCATCCTGCTGAATTCTGGACGGTACAGGACTCAGTTCCTTTTCTATGATGATACCAATTGAATGAGCGTAGATACAATCGAATTTAAGGATCACGGGGACGCAAAGTCAATGTCGAGATCAATTATCAGTTTTGCAAACTAGCATTGGCATATAGAATTCACCAGGAACTCCTTTTCGACCCTTTATAGTAATTAACATACCACTTCACAAACTTCTTCAAACCTGTCTCCAAGTCAGTGGTAGGCTTATATCCAAGCTCACGCTGAGCCAAACTTATGTTTGCATGTGTATATTTCACATCCCCGTTCCTCGGCAAAGGCAGGAACTTCTTCTTAGCCTTAACCTTCAAAAGCTTTTCCAGTATGCTCACGAGCTTCGTCACAGGCACCGGAGATGTATTCCCCAAATTGAAAATGCGGAACTGCGCGGACCCCTTCTTCTTCCCACCGCTCCCGGTACTTTTCTTGGCAGTATCCAGGGCAGATACACAACCCTTCACAATATCATCAATGTAGGTAAAATCCCTAGCAACAGATACATGATGAGGCCCTTCATATATTGTAATCTCCTTCCCTTTCAAGATATCCTCTGAGAAAAAGAAGTATGCCATGTCCGGCCTACCCCACGGTCCATACACGGTGAAAAACCGCAATCCAGTGATAGATAACCCATGAATATGATTATAAGTGTGCGCGATTTCCTCGCCAGCCTTCTTTGTGGCAGCATACAGACTCGCAGGCTGATCCGTCCGGTCCTTCTCCGAAAAGGGCACCTTGGAATTGAGCCCGTAGACTGAACTCGACGAAGCCCACACGATTGCCGGCTGCGGATTCGCAGATTTGCACACCTCCAGAAGGTTCACAAACCCCGCGATGTTGCTATGCACATAGGATGCGGGGTTCTGCATCGCATAGCGCACCCCGGCCTGCGCCGCAAGATGCATTACATGAGTGAACGGCACCACATCGAACAACTTATTCAGAAGCTCCCTATCATTGATATCTCCTTCGACGACGAAAACCCCTGCTTGATCCAGCATCTCCTGCCTGGCCCTCTTGAGCCTGGTGTCGTAGTATTCATTGAAATTATCAAGCCCGATGACACCGTCCCCGCGTCGCTTGAGGGCGAGCGAGACGTGGGTGCCCACGAACCCCGCCGCCCCGGTAACCAAGACCGTGAAGCCGGACCGCGACCTGACCCGGGCCGACGTCCGGATCCGCTTCTCCCAGCGCGACCCGCCCCACGAGCCGAGGGACCGCCTCGGCGGCGGGGACGAGGAGGGAGGGGAGAGGAAGAAGAAGAACACGAGGAGGGCCAGGAAGAGGGCCAGCCAGAGCGTGAGTTTGGACACGGAGGAGTGGAACCTCAGACGGTGGATGTAGGTCAACGGCTTGTCGGACTTGAACTTACCCGGGGAGGATGGTACATTGTCCAGGTGGGAGAGCGAGTTCGTCTTCAACTGTGACATTTCACGGATGCTTGCCCCCACCCAGAAGGAAAAAAATTCACAAATCAATCAAGAACAAACCGATCTCCGTTGTAGGGGGCAAAATCTACGGTTAGGGTTTGGTGGCGATCTTGATGGCGAAGAAACCCACTTACCGCCGGTGAGAAAAGCATGGATTTTTCCGGTTGCTCCGGCGATTCCTGGCAAAAGGGTGTGAAGAAAAGGCGCTCCTGTTCACACCTGGATCGTTTTTCTGAGGACTTCCTAGGGTTCTATATGGTGGGTCTGCGATCAAAATCCACGGGTTTGATGAGCAGGAGGAAAGTCTGTGACCAAAAAAACAAATCTTGGGAAGAGAGAGAGAGAGAGAGAGAGAGAGAGAGAGAGAGAGGAGAGAGAATGAAAGTAGAATACCAAGAACACGCTGAGGAAAAAAGGAAACTAAAAAACACCCCACAAACAGCAGCACAGTACACAGAGAAAGAAGAGAGAGATTTTGAGAAATTCTTGCAAGTGTTTGGAAATTTCTGATCTGGTGTTTGACACCGGAGAAGTAGATTTCGGGTTGATCTCATTTTAAATGAGTTTCCTTTCTAAGATCTCGTTTTTAATTCTGTGCTGCCATTTCAAAAATAATAATAATAAGATAATTTTTATCGTCAAGCTATTTTTTTAACACATTATACGAGAAAGTCCAATTGCTGAAAAGTCCCGAATTTTTTTTTACCTAATTCATCGATGGACACGCGTTAACAAAATTCGTTTCTCTACGCTTTCTCCGATTATAAAAATACGGATGGTGGCATGCACAATTCTACCCATCTCACACGGCTCTAGTTAAATAGACATTATTATTTAAACGAAGCATTGGAGTTTGCTGAATATTGGGTCAAATGAAAATGATCGATCTGATATTCATAATATGATCTAGGATATGGTCTTCTTGATTCTCTCTCACTGTTGCTTGACCGGATAGTTAAAAGAATCCAATCCAGGCTGAAAAATGATCCTATATTCCTATTCTGAGCAGTTGCATCCAACTAGCTACAGCTCATGCTAGATAATTGCAATTTTTTTTTATTTTTTTTTATGAACTTTCTTGTAGGTCCAATACTCTGCTCTACAGATGTAAAGCCTGGGACCTTGCGGTGGAAATTCACCTGTTGCTAGTTGAGGGCTACGGATTTCAATGTGGTCCCGGAAATAAGATGAAAAACATGTTTTTGATCTACACGGCTTTTTCCGTATTTAGTAGAGAACTCTGACGAAATGAAAAATCGGTTACTTCCGAGATTTTACAACATGTCATTTTGGGAAAAAGCGTCAAAAAATCCTAAACTTATTGCATGGTGCCAATTTAGTCGTAAACCTTTTGTTTTTGTGTCAATTCAGTCATTCCGACTAAATTTGGCCGGATATTGCTGATGTGGACACCGACCGACCAACGTGGTACTGCTGGCGATAATGTGGACAACCTTTAATAATATTTTAAGATTTTTTTAATTTTTTTTTTTGCTTCCTTCGGCAACTGGCTGGAGGCTAGGGCTGGCCATCGGCGAGGCGAAGTCGAGCTGAGCCCGGCCGCTGGCGATGGCAAAGTCGAGCCTTGCCCTCGCCAGTGGCTGGGAGATTGCAGCCTTCGACCTCATGGCCTCGCGGTGGGCTGGCAAGGGTCGAGTGTCGCCGGCCATGGGTGAGGCTCGACCTCGCCAGATTCGGCGAGGTTGTGCCTTGCCCAGTCACTGGAGAGGGTGAGCCTCGCCAGAGGCCGGGGACTGGCGGGAGGAAGAAGAAAGGAAAAGCAAAAAAAAAAAATCTAAAAATAAATAAATAAATTCTAAAAATATTAAAATATTATTAAAAGTTATCTACGTTATCATCGGCGGTGCCACGTAGGCCGACCGATGTCTACGTCAATAATACCTGGCCAAAATTAGTCGGAATGACTGAATTGATATAAAAACAAAAGGTTTAGAATTGACTTAGCACAAAAAAAGGTTTAAAGCTAAATTGGCACTAATACAATAGGTTTATGACTTTTTTAATACTCTTACCTGTTATTTTGTACAGCATGTATGCAAATACTGTCACATGTGCGAAAAATTATACCGCGTGAAAGGTATATCAGACGGCGTATTGATGCTATGTTTTGCATAAGTGAAGCTATTCGTTAACAATTTCCAAATATGCATCGGGAACAGAATCATGTAACGTAATGGTTGACTCCAGATCATTAAATTACGACTTTTTTGATTTGTACGCATCACATATGTATGATTATATTTCGAACAGAAAAGAAAAAAAAAGGCTATGCAGATGACCATGACAGCAAAAGTAGTGATGAAGAACCAAGTCTTTCAAGAGACAGAAGCAAGAAAGGTTGAGCTGTGAAAGAGAAACTTGCGATGATGGCAAGATGTGTGAAAGATAGACTTTGTGATGAAGGCAAGAATATTTAACAAAGCTAAAAGCTCGCCAAGCGAAAGTAACCTCGTTCTAACTTAAGCCACACTCACCACATTCACGTTGACTTCACATTAGCACTCACCAAACCAAGCCCCACCAAATGCCATTTTCCAAAAAGCCATCATGAGAATTAGAGCTGAAGAAATGTGTGCATTCTATATGGCTAAGTAACATGTTCTTGGGTCCAATGAATGCATTCAAGAGATGTTTCCTTACTTTGTCCTTCATTGATAGTACTTAGTGAAGGGCATTACTTTCAATTGCAGTCTTTTTATATATCCGGGGACACGAGCTCATCGACCCGGTTGCCTAGAGACTAGTAGGTCACCTTTCAAGGCCCATGAACTAAATAAGTTCGGGTTTTTGACCTTTGCATACGACCTTAACCTAAGACATTTTGCAGGTAATTTGTGAGATTTGAATGTACGACCTAGAATTCTTGAGTTGAAAATCCTCCAATGCCCCCAATCAATTACGCCAACCTCGAAGGTTAATATATAGTCTTTTGGTCTATTCATTTATACATCACAAAAGTTGAACCGAAAAACAGTTTGATACAATTGTGTGTTGCTCGTATCTTAGTCATGCTCCATATATACTCAACTAAATTCATGTCAAATTAACGAATACAACTACATATCAAATTGAGATTTAAATAAGAGTTAGAAAGTTAATGAATACTATACAAAGAATGTGTTTGTTTAGGCTCCACTTGACTGGATTAACAGAGGCTTTGGTGTTCGCTTGGCTCGTGTGCTCTTAGTCAAGCACCTCACTCGCCCCCAATGACTTGCTATTTAGGTTGACTCCGTCAAGTTCCCAACATTGATCTCTTCATCGTATTAACATGGTCATGGGGGAAAATTACCAAAAAGTTTTGAACATATTATAATTGTGCCAATTTAGTCATAAACCTTTTTTTTTTGGCTAATTGAGTCCTAAACCTTTTTATTTGTGCCAATTCAGTCTATCCGATCAAATTTGACCGGAAATTACTGACATGGGCACTAGCCGTCCTACGTGGCACGACCGGTGCTAACGTGGATAATTTTTAGTATTTTAAATTATTTCCGAATTCTTTTAGTTCTTTTTTTCTTTTCTTTTCTTCTCTTTTTCTTTTCTTCCCCAAACTCGGGGTCACCGGTCCCTCGCCAGCCGACCCTTACTAGCCACAAGTGAGGACCGGGACTCCCTAGCCAGCAACCCTCGTTGGTCCCAAGTGGAGGGAAAATAACAAAAACTATAGAAATGAAAAGAAAAATAAAATAAAATTATAAATTCAATTAAAAAATTTATTAAAATATTATCATAAAATGTCTACATTAGCGCCAGTTACGCCACGTAAGACAGTTGACATCCATGTTAGTGATTTCTGGCCAAAATTGGCCGGATGGACTGAATTGGGTTTAGGACTCAATTGAAAAAAAAAAGTTTAGGACTGAATTTGCACAATTACAATATATTTAAGATTTTTTTGGAACTTTTTCCGGTCATGGGGTTACATTGATGGTGACGTTGTTGGCCAAATATCATCTTTTGGTCCAATGTGATTTTGCCTACATAGGTCCAATTTCATCTTTAGGCTGAAGAATTTCCTTGGGCCATATGGGCTAAATAATTGAAGAAGACATAATTAACAGGCCAATGATTGGGCTCTGCAAGAATGTCCAAACTTTGGTATACAAAGCTCGGCTTTTGGATGAGTCCATTTACATTTACACCATGTTTGTTTGGGCCACTTGGAAATTAAAGCTGCTTCATGAGTTTTCTTTCTTGACATTCTCGTACTGTCGAAATGCCTGTTTTTATATTTTATTTTCTTGTTTGTAGCGGATGCAAGATTGAGACTTTTCTTTCGGAGTAATTTATTGCTCCCTTATGCTACATTTGGTGATCGATCATGATAAAAAACAGGATTCGATAAATTTTACTATATTTGGTGTTTGATTACTACTATCCAAGACAGGATAAGGCTGAATGAAAATGAGATACAATCTGGATTAAAAAAATAACAGTGGGGGTATAATAAAGCTGAATATGAGTTTACATGTTCATGGTATCAAAGCTATAGAATAGCTGGTCGCCACGTGAATACCACCCCCCAATAGCTTATCATCATCGTCTTTGACCAATGCGTAGCTCTACTCACCTCCGACCACCACTGGTTGTCATTGCTGGCCAACCGATCATGTTTCCCAATCGGAGCTTCTCAATTGGCATCTCCACCTTTCGTCCAAATCTAGTGTGATGGTGGAGCTTTCATTCATCGTCCCTTTTTTTTTTTTCACAACTTGTGCGTTCTTTGTTACATATTCACTTCACCTGCGAGGAATAGTTTCAACTTTTTCACAGTCTCTCACTCGATTGCGCATCGTCCTCATGGGAATCGAAGAAATCGAGCGACGCATTCCATCTTTTGCTTCGATCCACCAATGGAAGTACGAAATGTCCGTGAGCTTCAGAGGTGAGGACATAAAAAAGACATTTGTAGTCGACTTTTTCCATGTGCTAGGGATCTACTATTTCCAGGACAATGACAAAATGGAGGCCAAGATTTTCATTGAGTCGAAAGTTGCTTGATGCGATTCGCTACTCTACGGTTTCCCTAGACGTGTTCACCGCCAACTACGCTGACTTGCGGTGATGCTTGAATGTGCTGGTGGAGATCCTGGACCACAATGGGAGGTTCAGAGATCATTTTGTGCCGCCCAAGGCCGAAGACACCATCAAAGGCGATCACAAGACCGCAAGGGTCGCAATGTCGAGGATCGAGACGGGACTTGACTGTGCGATGATAGGGGACACAACGAAGAAGTCCATACCATCAAACACGGCCTTAAGGTGGCTACTCGCATATGCTGACTCGTTTCCCTTTTGCTGGCCAAATCATCTATAGGGTCAGGTTTTGGTACATTAATCTTAGAAAGGAGAAATCATGTTTGGATTAAAAAATAATTATGTATTGAATACAAGGTATATGTCATGTTGGTCTAAAAAATCATTTAAGATGTCATAGAAGTAATTTCGTCATTCATTGGTCGCTATACTTCCTTCTTAAAAAGTTGAATACTGCAGATTGTATAGTCAAATCATTACGATGTCATCCGACAATATCATGGGTGAATCATCATGGCATCATTGAAACTTTTAAATACTAACTCAATCGTGTTGAATTTAAAAAATCATTTGAGACGTCGCGTGTTAATATCATGCATCGAATATACTATTTCATAGATATAATTCTACAAGTATATGACGTGATTAACTTCATCATTCATTTCGATGATCGAGTGCCTATAGTTCCTTCCAAGAGATTGGATATTGCAGATTGTGTAGTCAAATCATTTAAGACGTTATATGTAAAAATCATGCATTGACTACGCATCAAGTGGTGAAACATCATGGCATCACTAGAATTTTTAAGTACCAACTTGATCATGCGATGACATGTTTAATTAGAAAAATCATTTAAGACGTCATGTGTGAATGTCATGCATTGAGTGTACACATCTTAGTTGGCGTGATCATAGGAATTTATAAGGTGATTAATTTCGTAATCCAATTCGCGGATTGATCACCTATAGCTCCCTATAAAAAGATTGAATATTGCGGAATGTATAGTCAAAATATTTAAGAGTCCCTGTGAATAAGCATGCATCGCATACGCATCAATTGGTGAAACATCAAGGTGTCATTGTAATTTTACAAATACCAACTTGATCATGCTTAGCGATGACATGTTGAATAGCCATTGCATATTATAACACCATGGAGTTAATTACTCGGCAGTCGATAGCAAACAAATTGGTATTTTTCTAAGGAACGTGATGGAATCTTAATTGTTGTCCTGTGTGAAAGAATGGGAAAATTTACTAAAAAAATCCTAAACCTATTGCATTTTTGTTAATTTAGTCTTAAATCCTTTAATTGTCCCAATTGAGTCATAAACCTTTTCACGTTATGCCAATTGAGCCCATCCGGTCAATTTTGAACGAAAATTGCTGACATTGATGCTGTCCGACCTACATGGCATGGCCAGAATAGACGGCTAATATTGATGTGGACATTGTTAATAATAGTTTAATAATTTTTTGAAATTTTTATAATTCCTTTTCTTTCCTATTTATTTTCTTTAGAATGAGGGTTGATAGGGTGTCGTAGCCCTCACTAGCTCTGGGCGAGGGCAGCCACTCCCTTGCTGGCCACTAGGCGAGGGCTTGATGCCCTTGTCAGCCACAACGTTGAGGCTTGGAAAAGAGCCACGACGAGGGCTTGGGCGAGAGCCACAACGCCCACGCTGGCCAAAGTGAGGGCATGCGAGCCCTCTCCAGATTTGGTCCAGGCCGGGGCTTGGCAGTCGTTGTTGGCATGGGTGAGGGTCGCTGGCCCTCACTCCAAAAAACAAAAATAAAGTAAAAAAAGGAAAAAATCATAAAATTCAAAAAATTATTAAAATGTTATTAAAAATGTTAATGTCAGTGCCGGCCGTACCACGTAAAACACTTAACATCCACATCAGCAATTTTCAGCCAAAATTGACCATATGGACTCAATTGGCAAAACGTGAAAATGTTTAAGATTCAATTGGCATAATTAAAAAGGTTTATGACTGAATTGGTAAAAATGCAATAGGTTAATGATTTTTTTTATTATATTCCCATGAAAGAAAAGGACCGTTTTTCTCCCTGCACGCACGAATGCCCTATCACTCTATATAAATGTGTTTTTCCATCAACATACTTTTTCATCACTAGTCTCTTTATTATACATTAGAAACAGATGTTCCAAATGGAGACACAACATCTTTATTACCACATCGGCGCTATAGCATCTGTTAATATAGTTGAGGGGAGAGCCAGTAATAACAATATAGATAGTAATTTTATAGATTTCACACTAATTCCGCCATAACGCTAATAATTTGAATGATACACTCTCGTGCAAAGCTATGAATAGCGCGTGACAATATGTTTGAATAATGCTAGCGCACTAAGAACTTACTAAAACATAAAAAGATAAGTATAATGGAAGACATAACATTTATCATGAAAGTACAATGAAGTCTTAAAACTTCAAAAAGTGCAATCAAGTCCTAAAACTTGTCAAATTGATATAATCAAGTCCTTCAATTAATTAATGTTTATGGGTTTTAGGAATTGATAGCATCAACTCGACAAGTTTAGGACTTCATTATACTTTTTTAAAAGTTTTAGGATGCAACTGCACTTTTGTGATAAGTTTTAGGACTTGATTGCACTTTTTGAAAATTTTTAGGACTCAATTGCACTTTGTAATAAATTTTAAGACTTTCCGTATACTTATCTCAAACATAAATTTTAACTGAATTAATTTATTAGAAATGCCAATGCTATGCACTATTTGCATTGGTCAATTTATTAGAAATTCCACTGACAGTACGATTTTTATGTCAATTTGGAGGAATCCCTTTCCACGTTTTCCCCACAAATGTCACATGCACACTGTACGACCTTATATGAGAAGACAACATATGATATTCATACGTTAACCAACCAATTTTACAGAAGAAGGCATCACTCCACGTGATTCCTGGTTTTGTAACTAGAATAATCACATAAATTTGGATCCTAATCCTACCAAATTATTCCTTTACAATGAGATGCAAGTTAGGTACCCTTTGAGTGGCAATAGCAATGAGTGGAGTGGCCTTCTCAAGAACCATCCCAAACTTCTCTTCGCAATCCAACTCCATACCCGGTGGCAATCTCCACTCGAACAAATGCAGGAACGTAGCCAATACATACATCAGCATCCTCTCCCCCAGTTGGAGCCCGGCACACACCCGCCGACCCGACCCGAACGGCATGTAGTGCAAATTCCGTCCTGAGTATTCTAACTCGAAGGCCTCTCCTCCCACGGAGAACCTCTCGGGCCGGAACTTGGACGGGTCGGGCCAGAATTGCGGGTCCCGATGCATGGCCCACACGTTCAAGAAGACTGTAGTGCCTTCGGGTATGGTGTATCCGCCCACCGTGCAGGTTTGGCTCGGGCTGCGCGGCAACAGCAGGGGACCTGCGGGGTGCAGTCTCAGAGTTTCCTTCACTACCACATGCAGGTAATTTAACTTGTGGATGTGGGACTCCTCGACCATGTTGTTCGGCCCGACAATGTCGTCGAGCTCTTTCTGGACTTTGAGAAGGACTTCCGGGTGTAGTAGCAGCTCGGTCATTGTCCATTCCACCATGGTATATGTGGTGTCGGTACCACCCAAAAAGATGTCCTAGTAAAAAATCATGAAAAAGTTAGCATGAGAGCTATTTCTAAATATCTTTGCATGGATAGAGAGGACACATCAAAAGGCAAATTGAAGGCATGGATCTCCCCTTTCTCTTGGGTAAAATCATTCGGTTCTCCTCATATATGGACACTCTAGGACAATGACTGTTCTTATGACACATCTTTTTTTCTCAATCGCATCAAATGTTTGTACTTCCAAGGGAACTTCCGGAGGTGAGCCAGCTACTCTCCTAGATTGTTTAACAAAAAACTTGTCCTAATGCATATCGTTTTTTAACAATTTCCCTCGTAATGGGACCAAATAACTAAACTAAACTTTGCCTCCAATGATTTTGAATATTTTAGGTCCATGTATCGTACCTATAGTAAAGATGCCTTTGGTATTCATATATATTTTACTCAAAGGAAAAATGTTGATTTTGAGGAAATGGAGAGAAAATTACCATAAGCAAAGCCTTCATTTGTTCTGGGGAAATTGAGCTCCCAGTTTCTTCATTTTTATACTCCAAAAGAATCTGCAAGAAGTCCCTCTTCTCACATCCTTTATCTGCTCTTACTTCTTCCAAACTCATGTGTTGATTGATGACAAAGTCAAATATCCTCCCAATCCAAGCCACCACCTCCTTTATCTCTCTCTCCACTCCTTGCACATCAAACCTCGCAATCAGCGGAAAGAAATCCGACACGTTAGGCTTCGCCATTAGAACGGTGAACCGTGCCACCGCCTCCCGGAACTCTGCCCCGATGCGCGCCGCCTCCTCCTCCCCGAGTGTCCCACCCCAGAACATGCATGTTATCATGTTGAACACCGTATGGAACGCCACTTCCCCGATTTTAACCGGCAGTCCCGTCCTACAGCACAAATCTCTTGCGCTCTTCATGACTTCTCTCCTTCTGTGTGAGCAAAAGGCGTTGAGATTTGCTGCACTTTGCATCTCGTGCACGAACAACCGGCGAAGCATCCGCCACTGGGGCCCGAGAGGTGCAAAGGCGATGTCTTTCCCTCCATAGGAGAAGGCCAACGAGGCCTTTCTAGGGTTGCGGTTGGCGAACACGACATCGAGGTCGCGTACTATCTCTTTGGCTATGGTTGGAGAGCTTACAATAACAAAGAGTTTGGCACCCAACGAGAGCTTATATATCGGGCCATACTCTCGGGCGAGTTCCATGAAGAACTTGTGGAGGTTGCGCCCAAGAAATGGGAGGTAACCGACCACGGGGAGACCTCTTGGACCGGGCGGAAGGCGGGACTTGCCTTTCCGGAAGATTGTGAGTAATTTTTGGAGCCAAAATAGGCATGATAAGGTCAGTATAGAATAGAGGAAAACTGATGATAAATGTTCCTCTCTAGGGTTTGGCAATAGCATAGAGACATGACAAATCAAAGTCATGATGAATTCGTATCCGACCCGTGTTAGAAGCTTGGACTTGGAGAGGACACCGACTACGTGTGCGTAATGCGTAGAAGCCTCGAAAGCACTACTAAACAGCATGTGTATGCAAAGAGTGCCATTGTTCTTATATAGTACCAAAGTGTATGTCTGTTGCCTTACTTGTTGGTACTTATCTGCTGTTATTGATTATACAAAAGAGTGCTAGCTGTCCTGTATAGTAGTGTATGTATGTTGGTCAAATAATGCTCACAAGAATTGCTTGTCAATTTTTTGTCGTTATTACAAACAAATTATAAAAGCATTTTTGTGGATCTATTACTTTTATCTTATTTTTTTTTCCACTCTTACTTAAACATACAGGTGTATAAAAAAAGTCCCTGAAAGAGTTGGTACTTATCTACTATCTCAAAGAGAGAGAATATACAAAGAGTGCTAGAACCGAAGTTTATGTATCTCAAGGACCGCAATCCTCGCTTGTCGCCAGCCACCGCCAAGGCCCCGGTGACTGTCGGAGGGAAGAAGATGAACAGTAGAGAGGAGAGAAAATAGAAAAAAAAAGGAAAAAGAAAAGTAAAGGAAAAAAAAGAAAGAAGAAAGAAAATTAAAACAAAAAACTACAAAACTTTCATTTGAGATAGTTCACGTTAGCCACCATCCCTGCCACGTAGGACGGCCGGCGCTGACTAGACCGTCATGTCAGAAATTTCTTGCCTAAGACTATATTGAAAAATCATAAAAAAAATTTAAGACTATATTAGTCAAATAAAAAAGTTAAGGTCGACCTTTTTCGTAGTCTCTCACTCAATTATGCATTATCCTAGTGGGAATTGAAGATAACGAGCGACACATTCTTTCTTCTACTTCGATTCATCAACGGAAGTATGACATGTCCGCGAGCTTCAAACACGAGGACATAAGGAAGACCTTTGCGGCCGAACTCTTCCATGCGCTAGGGATCTACTATTTCCAGGACAATGACAAAGTGGAAACCATGATTTTCATCAAGCCCAAGTTGCTCAACGCAATTCGCTACTTTACAGTTTCCCTCAACATGTTCACCACCAACTACACCAACTCGAGTGATGCTTGAACGAGCTAGTGGAGATTAGGAGTAATCGGTTCCAAGAATCGCCCATGAAGGGCCGGTTCCACAAACTAGGAACCGAGAATCGTCCATTGGTTACTGGACCCACTTGAGAATTGGACCACTGATTCGGTCCGGCTATCAAGTGGGTCCATAGAACCGGCTGTGTCCTGAGTTGTCTCAATATTCAAAGTTCTCGGATTGTTGTTTCCATTACCTTTTTCAACACTTTGGCACGAGTGGCTTGACAGGTTATTTGTCGGAGATATAGATGTCGATCGCATTCACGTATTGTACATGACTTTGGGTGTGTTTAATGCGAAGCCCAAATTCACAAATCTCTGATCATCTTAAAAATGTGAAAGTGGTCTATGATTTAGAGTGCCACGATTTGACTAAGTCAGGGAAAATGAAAATGAGAGAGCTAAGGGTTGATTCAGTGGGCAATTGATACATTACCCAACTTGAATAGTTAAAACAGACAAATATCTTTTCTGTTCGACAAAAAGACCATCACAACTCTTAACATATCATCGATCGACTCTGATATTGGAAGAGAAGAGCAGGGTTCAATGGATTGATCTCAAAGAAGCACGACAGTTCTCGTTGAGCTAAAATCATATGTATATCTTAGGTAATTGCCTCCGAAGAACTGGCGCACCCAGCATACTTATTCAAGGTAAGAGCCTCTAAACATAAAATAAATAGGGTTAATACCACGAAAAACCCTAAACTGGTACACTTGTGACACATTTACCCCAAACTATTTTTTTGACTATAAAAAACCCCAAACTGGTACACCTGTGACAATTTTACCCTGAACATACCACAAAAAACCCCAAACTGGTATACATGTGACAATTTTACCCCGAACTAATTTTTAATATTATTTTTTTTAATTTTTTGAATTTTTCTTTTTTCTTTTCTTTTCTTTTCCTTCACCTTCAACCTCTGACCGGCGAGGGCCGCCCTCGCCGGCGTCGGGCTGCCCTCGCCTGCGTCGAGCGAGGGTCGTCCTCGCTTGCCCAGGGCGAGGCTGTCCTCGCCCTACTCGGGCGAGGGCGGCCTCGCCCGACGGCGAGGGTCGCCCTCGCCCAGATCCGGCCTCGGGCGAGGGTGGCCCGGACGCCGGCGGGCGGCCTCGCCCGATACTACCGCGAGGTCGCCCTCGCCGGATCTAGCGAGGGCGACCTTCGCTGCATCGGGCGAGGGTCTCCCTTGCCCTGGGCGGGCGAGGACGGTCCTCGCCCGATGCCGGCGAGGTGGCCCTCGCCCGACGCAGGCGAGGGTCGCCCTCGCCAGATCCAGCGAGGGCCGCCCTCGCCGACGCCGACGAGGGCTGCCCTCGCCGGCCTGCCTGGTCCGGTGACCGGCCGAGTTTGAAAATGAAAAAAGAAAAGAAAAGAATAAAAATAAAAAAAATTCGAAAAAAATACAAAAAATAATATTAAAATTTTAATTTAGGGTAAAATTATCACATATGTACCAGTTTGGGATTTTTTGTGGTAAGTTCAGGGTAAAATTGTCACAGGTGTACCAGTTTAGGGTTTTTGGTGGTCAAAACAATAATTTAGGGTAAAATTGTCACAGGTGTACCAGTTTGGGGTTTTTTATGGTCAAAAAAATAGTTTTGGGTAAATGTGTCACAAGTGTACCAGTTTAGGGTTTTTCGTGGTATTAACCCAAATAAATATTATATAAAGGTTCGAGTGGTTCGAGTGAACAAGTCCACACTTGGGCAAGGAAGCGCCTGCATTGGCCGGTTCGGTTTGGTTCGGGCAATTTCCAATCCAGTCCGGTTCTTTTGCTCACCCCTAATGGAGATCCTAGACCACAACACGAGGTTCAAAGATCATTTGGTGCTGCCCATGGTTGAGGACACCATTTGAGGTGATCGCAAGGCCGCTGGGGATTCAATGTTAATAATCTAGACAGGATAGAGGTGCTATCAGACTTTGTGATGATAGGGGGCACGATGAAAATGTCCAAATTATCAAACAAAGCCTTAGGGTGCTTACTCGTATATGCTGGATTGTTTTCCTTTGATGGCCAAATCATGTGTAGGTACGTATTGAATACATGATATATGTCTTGTTAATTTAAAATATCATTTAAGATGTCATGTGTGAATATAATGCATCGAATATACAACTTTATAGAAATGATTATAGAAGGATATAGGTGATTAATTTTATGATTCATTGATCGCCAATAGTTCCTTCTAAAAGAATTGAAAATTGCAGATTGTATAGTCAAATTATTATGACATCATGTGTGAATAATGCATTTATTACTAGGTGAACCATCATGGCATCATTGGAATTTTTATATACCAACTCGATCATGTTGAATTTAAGAAATCATTTGAGATGTCATGTGTAATTTCATGCATCAAATGTGCAACTAACATAGAAGTAATTCTACAAGGATATAAAAGGTGATTTTAACTTATTCATTCATTTCAGTGACCGACTGCCTATAGTTCCTTTCAAGAGATTGGCTATTGCATATCGTATAGTCAAATCATTTAAGACGTCATATGTGAATAATATCATGAATCGATTACGCATCAAGTGATGAACCATCACGGGCATCATTAGAATTTTTAAGTACCAACTTGATCATGTGCCACCCGACAGCACGATTTTTTATGTCGATGTGGGGAATCCCTTTCGATGTTTTCCCCGCAATGTCACATGAACAATGTCTGAACTTATATAAGGAGACAACATATGATATTCGTATATTAACCAACTAATTTTACAGAAGACATCATCACTCCACGTGATTCCTGGTTTTGTAACTAGAATAATCACATAAATTTGGATCCTAATCCTACCAAATTATTCCTTTACAATGAGATGCAAGTTAGGTACCCTTTGAGTGGCAATAGCAATGAGTGGAGTGGCCTTCTCAAGAACCATCCCAAACTTCTCGTCGCAATCCAACTCCATACCGCCGGTGGCAATCTCCACTCGAACAAATGCAGGAACGTAGCCAATACATACATTAGCATCCTCTCCCCCAGTTGGAGCCCCACACACACGTGCCGCCCCGACCCGAACGGTATGTAGCGCAAATCCCCTCCCGAGTATTGCGACTCAGAAGCGTCTCCCCCCACGGAGAACCTCTCAGGCCTGAACTCGGACGGGTTGGACCAGAACCGCGGGTCTCGATGCATGGCCCACACGTTCAAGAAGACTTTAGTGCCTTGGGGTATGGTGTATCTGCCCACTGTGCAGGTTCGGCTCGGGCTGCACGGCAACAGAAGCGGAGCTGCAGGGTGCAGTCTCAGAGCTTCTTTCACTACCAAATGCAAGTATGGTAACTTGTGGATATGGGACTCCTCGACCATGTTGTTCAGCCCGACAATGTCGTGGAGCTCTTTCTGGACGTTGAGAAGGACCTGTGGGTGTAGTAGCAGCTCGGACATTGTCCATTCGAACATGGTCGACGTGGTATCGGCACCTCCAATAACGATGTCCTAGTAAAAATGACATGGTAAAAGAAATTAGCATGAGTGCTAGTTCTTGGGGAAATTTTGAACTGAGAAAATGGATAGAAAATTACCATAAGCAAAGCCTTGATTTGTTCTGGCGTTATTGATCTCCCAGTTTCTTCTTCTTTATACTCCAAAAGAAATTGCAAGAAGTCCCTCCTCTCGCATCCTTTGCCTCCTCCTAATTCTTCCGAACTCATGCGTTGACGTATGACAAAGTTGAAGATCCTCTCAATCCAAGCCCCCACCTCCTTCATCTCTCTCTCCACTCCTTGCACGTCAAACCTAGCAATCATCGGAAAGAAATCCGAAACATTAGGCTTCCCCAATAGAGCGGTAAGCTGTGCCACCGCCTCCCGAAACTCCTCCCCGATGCGCGCCGCCTGCTCCTCCCCGAGTGTCCCGCCCCAGAACATGCATGTTATCATGTTGATCACTGTCCGGAACCCCACTTCCCTGACTTTAACCGGCAGTCCCACCCTAACGCACAAATCTCTTGCGCTCTTCACGACTTCTCTCCTTCTGTGCAAGCGAAAGGCATCGAGATTTGCCGTGCTTTGCATCTCACACACGAACAACTGCCACATCATTTGCCACTGGGGACCATGAGGCGCGAAGGCGATATCCTTCCCTCCATAGGAGAAGACCAACGAGGCCTTGCTAGGATTGCGGTTGGCGAACACGATGTCGTGGTCACGTAGTATCTCTTTGACTAAGATTGGAGAGCTTACAATAACATAGAGTTTGGTGCCGATCGAGAGCTTACAAATCGGGCCGTACTCTTGGGCAAGTTCCATGAAGAACTTGTGGAGGTTGTGCCCTAGAAATGGGAGGTAACCAACGACCGGGAGACCTCTCGGACCGGGCGGTAGGCGGGACTTGCCTTTCTGGAAGATTGCGAGTAACCTTTGGAGCCAAAATAGGCATGATAAGGTTAGCATCGAATAGAGTGTTGAGGAAAATCCTAATGAATTTTGAAACTGACAAAATTTTCTATGTTTATTTTGTGAATCTGACATGCATTCCATTCCAGGTGAATATATTCTGGAAGTTCAGAAGGAAATATCAGACTTTACAAGTTCTCAGAATGAGGAGTTCAGATTCAGAATGAGAAGCTCAGACTTAATCATAAAAAGTCATTCAGATTTTTTTTTGTCTTCAAAGAACTTCAGACCCTATGAGAAATAGGTTTCATATCTTATTAAAAGAACCCCACTAATCTAAGTTCTGAAAGATACGCAGACGCAGAAGTTATGCAGACGCAGATGCAGAAATTATGCAAACGCAGACGCAGAAGTAAAACTCATTCAGAACGAAACACAACAGCTAGTGATCTGGCATGGATTTCACAAAAGGAAAGTTTTGATTGTCTCAATCTAAAGTTATAATTGATTGACAATCAAACATTATAACAAGTATGCATTACAACGGATAAAGCTCTACTTATGGAAACCAAGATTCTGATTGTATGGGTGACCAGAATCAGCGGGATTTAGATTTTGTCAGCAAACGGCTACTCAATCCATTTTATACAAATCTATCCAAGATGAAAATTGGAAGATGATCCTCTGAAGACTGTCCAACGGCTAGTTTGGAAGTGGAGGAGTATAAAAGGAGATCAACGAGGACCAAAATGAACAAGAACGAAATCGAGAATCAACAAGTCCAAAGTTTGAGCACACTCCGATCATTTCTCTTGTTTTTCTTGAGCAAAACACTAAGATCTTGAGGGATACTTTATAAGAGTGATTGTGTGAGATAGAGAGTCCTATCATACATAAGAGTACTGTTACTCAGAATCTGTAATTCCTCTTGATTACATAGTGAAATCCAACCAGTAAGTTGTCAGCGTGGGAGAGTGGACGTATGCTTGCTATAAGCCGAATCACTATAAACTTGCGTGCAGTTTTTCTATCCCTTATTTCTTGCTTTACATACTGCACACCAATAGCACTGTCTATATAAACTATTTTGAATATGAATTTTATTCAGACTCTACTGTGATCAATCATTTCCGCTATAAATTGATCAAAATTGTTTAAAATCACCTATTCATCCCCCTCTAGGTGATCCTTGCTAGCTACATCAATTGGTATCAGAGCTAGGTTGCTCGTTTATTGAAGTGTATTATTTTTTAGCTAACGATCTATATGGCTAGCTTGAGTGCTCCAGGTCTCATTGAAGGACAAAACAACAACAGATCACCATATTTCGATGGCAAGAAATATAGTGTCCGGAAGAACAAGATGAAAGCATTCATCAAGTCAATTGATCACATGCAATGGGATCATATCATCAGAGGAGTCAAACCAAAATCCTGTGCACCAAAATCTGATTCAAAAGAAAAGATAGCAGGAAGCGCACCAGCAGATCCTCCATTATCTCAAACTGAGATATAAAAAAAGAGAAGCGTTAGATTCAAAAGCAATTTATTCGTTCTATTGTGCTTTAGTACCTATTGAATATAAGAAAATTGCTTCTTGTGAATCAGCTAAGGATATCTGGGATACTCTTTACACTACATATGAAGGAACAGATGGAGCCAAGGAAACTCAGATCAATCTATTGCTTGGTCAATATGAATCCTTCATAATGAAGTCTAGAGAATCAGTTGCTGATATGTATGACAGATTTGCTGACATAGTAAACGGTATTGCATATCAAAGACAACCAGTCTCAGATGCGATGAAAGTCAACAAACATTTGAGAGGACTGTCAAAGCAGTGGGACAATATCAAAACATCACTTCGAGAGACTCAAAGGATCATGCCTCTATCAGTGAATGAGCTAATCGGAACTCTTCAATTATATGAGATTGAACAACTGAATGAGGAGAATGAATCCAAAGATAAAAAGTCAATTGCGTTAAAATCTAATATTGATTCTGATGATGCAGATTCTGAAGATGAAGATGTTGACGATGAAGAACTGGCTCTCTTTATAAAGAAGTACAAGAAGATGAAAAAGAAAGGAAGAAACTTCAAAGGGAAGAAGCCTTTTGAGAAAAAGAAGACTCTCGTTGAAACAGAAAAGTCAAAGGAAGTAATCTGTTTCCAGTGCAGGAAACGTGGACATATCAAGCCAAATTGTCCACTTCTGAAAAAGAAAAAGAGCAAATTTGAGAAAGCAAAGAAAGCCTTAAAAGCATAAACCTGGAGTGATACAGAGTGTGAAGACAGTAATGAAGATATCTCAAACTTTTGTCTGATGGCCAAGTCAGACTCAGACTCAGATTCAGATTCTGATGCTGGAGTCGAAATTGAGGTAAAGTATCCTGAAATTCCAATTGAAGTGTCAAATTACATTGATGAATTATGCTTTGAATTGAAGGCTGCTCTTAAAAGAATCTCTCAATTAAAAAAGGAAAATTCATTACTGAGGCAACATGATGTTTCACAAAAAGATAAAATCGATTTCCTTCAAAAAGAATTCCATCAAGTCAAAGAAAATCGAGATTTACTTTCCAAAGAAAATGCTATTTTGAAAAAGGAATTTTCAGAAATTACTTCCAAATTTTCAAAAGGTTCAGAAACGTTGAAGCATATTCTTTCTATATAAATTCCTTACTATAACAAATCTTGTCTCGGATTTATGAAGGAAAGTGACAATTTAATTGATTTTCCAAAAGTCAAGGAGAGATTAAGGCAAAGACCTCCGAGACAAGTTTATAAAAATCATTTCAAAAGGAACTTTGTCAAACCTGTTGGCCGAAGTGCACTCAAGTGCTCAAAATATGGAGATCTACAGCACTTTGAGAATGAATGTCCTAAGGTTTATAGACCAATTCGAAGAGACTTTGTTAAGATAACCTATACTAATTCTCAAGGACCCAAACAAATTTGGGTACCAAAAAAAACTTGAGTGCTTGTGATTTTTTGCAAGTTATCACAAAGAGAAAAAGGAAGTGGTACCTGGACAGTGGATGTTCCAGACACATGACAGGAGATCCAAGCATGTTCGTTAAACTACAAAGCCTAAATAGTGAAAAAGTTTCCTTTGGAGGAAATAACAAAGGAAAGATAGTTGGTAAAGGAACAGTTGAAATTGGAGGACTCACAATCAATGATGTGTCATTGGTAAAAGGACTTAACTAGAACTTGATAAGCATAAGCCAACTATCCGACACAGGCTTTAGAATCAACTTTCAAGAAAATACATGCTCAGGAAAAAGCAAAGATTCTTCTCAAACATTCACAGGAAAAAGACATAGCAATATTTATCTTCTAGATGTCAATCCTAACTCCACACATTGCTTAATCTCAATCAAAGAGGATGAAGATCTATGGCACAGAAGATTATGGCATATTGGTATGAAAGAAATCTCAAAAATCTTAAACAAGAAATTGGTTCGAGGTCTGCCAGATTTGAAGTACAAGAAAACAGAGTTATGCAATGCCTGCACTCTAGGAAAACAAGTAAGAAGCTCTTTTAAGTCTATACATCATGTTTCCACTAATCGTGCTTTGCAGCTTCTACATATGGATCTATTTGGACCAACCAGAACACAAAGTATTGGTGGTAAGAAATATTGTTTAGTTATTGTTGATGACTTCACAAGATTTACATGGGTGTTCTTTTTTGCTCATAAAAATGAAGCATTTCCATATTTTTCAAGATTTGCAAAAAGAGTTCAGAATGAAAAGGGTTATACTATTTCCAGCATTAAAACTAATCATGGGGGAGAAATTGAAAATCAAAGTTTTTCAAATTTCTATGAAGAAAATGGCTTTCAACACAATTTTTCTACTCCTTATACACTAGAACAAAATGGTGTTGTGGAAAGGAAAAATCGTTCTTTACAAGAAATGGCAAGAACTCTTTTGATTGAAAGCAAGATTCCTTTTCATTTTTGGGCAGAAGCAGTTTTTACAGCTTGTTATATTATTAACAAATTTTTTCTTAGGTCCATTCTTGACAAAACCCCTTATGAGCTTTGCAAAGGTAGAAAACCCAGTATTTCATATTTTCGTGTATTTGGTTGTAAATGCTTTATACTCAAAAATCCAAATGATCGCTCTAGAAAGTTTGATGAGAAAGCAGATGAAGTATTTTTCCTTGGATACTCCAATACAAGCAAAGCATATAGAGTTTTTAACAGAAACTCTCAGACTGTGGAAGAAATAATGAACGTGAGATTTGATGAAAATGTTCAGACTCAAAAAGATGAATCTGAACTATCTCACAATATTCAAGAGATGTCTAAAGTTCAACAAGAATCCTCAAAGACCAGTGAAACAGATGAAGAAATAAAGGAAGATTCATTCATCACATAACCAGAATCATCAGAATCTGATAATACTCAGAAGGATAGATTCAACAGAAACTGAAAACATTAATCCAGTCATCCAAAGAACCTCATCATTGGAGAAATAGAAGATGGCATCAAGACTAGATCTAAACACAAGGAAAACATCAGCAACTTGGCATTGATATCAGAGATAGAACCAAAAGGAATTGATGAAGCATTATCAGATGAAAGCTGGATCGAAGCTATGCAGGAGGAACTTCAGCAGTTCAGAATCAATAAAATATGGGAACTTGTGTCAAGACCCAAAAATCATCCTGTAATTGGAACAAGATGGGTATTCAGAAACAAATTGGATGACAAAGGGAAAGTCATAAGAAACAAAGCAAGGCTTGTAGCAAAAGGCTACTCACAAGAAGAAGGCATAGATTATGATGAAACCTATGTATCGGTTGCCAGGTTAGAAGCCATTAGGCTACTTTTAGCTTATGCTTGTTTCCATAACTTTAAATTATTTCAGATTGACGTGAAAAGTGCTTTCTTGAATGGCTATATCAAAGAAGAAGTATATGTGGAACAACCACCTGGTTTTGAAGAACCAAGGAAGACTTATCATGTTTACAAACTCAAAAATGCCCTTTATGGTCTAAAACAAGCACCTCGTGCTTGGTATGAGAGGTTAAGTAACTTCCTTCTGCA